ACATGGACGAAGGCTGTCACGATTGACGTTTTCACGTTTCTTTCCATCGGTTTTTCGTCTGGTGCCTGGAAATTGTCCCTGGCTGCTTACTTCCACGTAACTCCATTTTCATTCACAATGAGTTTGCCATTGAAGTTACAAACTTGTATTTTCTTTACATGATATTTCATCGTTAAATTGACTAAGAAGCGCTACTAGGCCGCTCCATAGCTCAAGCGGTTAGTCACTGGCTTCCCACTGTGGCAGCCTGTGTTCGATCCAGGGTCTGGTCAAGTGGGATTTGTGGTGGACAAAGTCGCGCTGGGGCAGGTTTTCTCCGAGTACTTTGGTTTCCCCTGCCAATCTTCATTCCACCAAATTCTCCATCATCATAATCACCCAGGGCAGGCTACGATAGGCCAATCAGTGGCCGCCGTGCCGAGTGGACCCAGTTGGACTCCACTAAGCGATTAAAAAGAAAAGAAGTGCTACTAAATATTATTTTAAATATACACAAAATAACGACAGTGCTTTAAATGTTTGAATGACGATTTCGTTGAACATGAAGGCGTTCATTTTTTTTTGCCAGAGGTGGTGACTGAAATGCCAACCGAAACACCGTAATCGGTCTCTTACGTCTACAACCCCACTCGTTCCTATTAATAGCGGCCACTGCAACTTAAGAACGGACTAGGGAGAGAATAACAAGAGAATGCAAATCCTTTGTTTTTTGTGTATGTGGAGAAAGTTTCCTGGAAATAGAAATGTGCCGAAGTAATAAAAGTTACTGGCTTCAGTTCTATAAAGAAAGTAACTGCCTCGTATTCTGCAGTGTTTGAATTTATCAAAACTTTCAATTACTCTCTTACTTTCCTATACTCGTAAATTCCTTCACAATGTTCTCCCCTTGTCTAAGATAATCTTATAAAGTGAGTACAGGATGTGTTAGATCGCCTTCCATTAATGAAGCAGCTGTCAGAAATTCAGTTTTTATGGCGCGTATCTTTAAGTGATTCACAGAATCATCGATACGCAAAATACTGTACATCTTGTGAACTATAGATTTATTTTAGACTTACTTAAGAACACCAGACATTTCTGTGTAGCTTCGTGCATCAACTGAACAAGTTGGCTCAAGCGACAAAGCTTCTAATTTTATTCTGAAGGTGCCCGGTTCGAACTGCGGTCGGGACACCCAATAACGCGACAAATATTTCGTGGTTTTACAGTCCCTTCAGGTAAATTCCGCGATAATACAGGTAAGCGTGAAGTTTTTCCCCCCCTTACAAGGGTAAGGTTGAGGGCGACAATGTTTATTATTTTGCTCAAAAACGTACTCGTCTACTGTGCTTCAGTTTTCACATGGCGGAATCATGATATATTGTTTTAGGAGCATCAAATGTTATAATTGTTTAAGTTGACTGTTAGATTCCTGAATATATGGAGATACAGGTAAAAAGGTAAAGGTAAATTTGTCCCTATGCTTAACTAATTAAGAACTACGCCATGATATGGAGATCCACGATTTCTTAACCTCGTCACTAGTTGGAGGTGATTGGTCAGCTTCACGCCCCGGCCATTTAACCCCAAAGAAAATCACTCGGGTCTCACTGTATAGAACGATCGATGGACCGCAGAGCCGGTCTGGACAAAATGAGAATTCAAAATAGTTGCCCCATCAGGACTCGAACGAATATATGGAGGTACTGAAGAAAATACCAAATTTCATTCAAGAACTTTAAATTCTAATCCAGATGGTTGCAAAATCAAATAGAAATTTTATTCAATCAATTCGAGATATACTCGTATTACCATAACGTAGTGCTCCAGATTTCCCTCCCATAAACGTAACCCAGAACTCTCAGTGGAAGCAAATGTTTTCAGAATGGTCGTTACACAAAATCTCACTTCTTTACAGTGAGTAATTTAGAAGGATTTGAGGTTTTCACGGCGGTGACTATGAAGAAAGTCGTCTTCTGGGATGTGGCGTCGTGTAGATATTGTGTTAACCGACGTTTCGGAGGAACGTCGGTTAACACTATCTACACGGCCCCACAGCCCAGAAGACGGCTTTCTTCAATTTAGGAGGACTTCCGAATCTTTTAAGACGAATTTTGACCGTACACAGGAAATCCGTTCGATCAGACAGTCACCCATCTTCAGGGCACTTCGAGGAAAAGCCAGGATCTCAAACTATACACATATCGAAGGCCGGGAGTTAGTAAGTAGAAAAATGGTAAATTTTAAGAATTAAAATTGGTTGGAATCCCGGGTGTCGCCTTGTTTTCAAATTACTTCACACCACGAAGCTCATAAATATAATTCAGAGAGAAAAAGGTAAATGGCAGAGAGATTGTTCTCAAGAAACCCTTCCGGAAATATTGTCACATATAAGGGTTGTGACTATTAGACGGGGTGTTCATGGGTCATTGGATTTGTTGCGCTTATAGACTCAACTCGTAACTACAAGCAGTACAGCGCTATCGCTGGTCTACACACTTTACATTTCACCGTTACACACACATACTAGGATTCTCAGTCTTCACTTGTCGTATCCTGGCAACGGATTTTAATACAGTAATTATACCAGTATCACTGTAACTACACACATATGAAGTCTTGTTTGCACAGCGTAGTTCCTTTCTTGCCATCTCTTCTCAGTCATCTCCGACTGCCGTCTCAAGAGTCTTTCTCAATTCTTACTTTCAGTTATCATGTCAGAATATTACGCAAATTGATTAATGTACAACAAGCGTTCTAGTAACAGCCGTCTAGAGATATTGCACTGGTAATCAGTTCGCAAGTGAAATATGTGATATTAAATTATTGCATATGAAAAGCAGTTTTAAAAACATTTATTGTCTATTAATTTATTAAATATATATTCAGGTACAATTTTCAGCTGAAATATTGCGTTTTGGAACACAACACTACTATCTTTATGTAAAACCCCAAAAAGTACAGCCGAAAATAAGTAGAAAGCTGGTATATGAAACGACCAATGTGTTTCAGTTGGGAATACTGAGACCTGGGCACGCGCAGTGCGCGTCTTTCCTACATCATATAATGGCGAGGAGAAATATTCGCTCTCGCATAATAACAGTTAGTCCATGACTGAGTTCTTCAACGTTCTTTTCAGTCCGTTATTGGTTAGAATCTGAACGTTCAGCTCTGTATGTTCCGAGCTGCTGACAAAGATATTAATTAGGCTGCAGCTAAATAAGTGAATGTGGAAGTAATGCTTGCAAGAATGTATTGAATATATATATATATATATATATATATATATATATATATATATATATATATATTTTTGCACACGACCACCAGTGTGCACCGGCATATCTCTCTGTACATGTCTC